TGAGTGAAGAATCCGCGGGACTTCAGAACAGCAACTCCTAACGGTTCTGTTGAGTTTGGAAGAACCTTCAAGAGAAAAAAGTAATTAGACTATGAATAAGCGACACAAGCCAAAATGTTTGAAAAAGGCAAATCAAAGGATTACATGACTCCAACTCTTTCCAAGGAACTCATTGACTACTATTGCATTCTGCCCGTACATCAAAGGTGATATCCAATAGCCCCATATCCACCATTTCTTTATATCCTCTGTGGAAACAAACAAAAGAAAATAAACACCATTGCATACCAATTAAGCAATGTAACATGAAGTTTCTTTACTTGTTTTATACCTCTTGACAAGACAAAGCCACCCAAAGCAAAAAGCATGACCAAAGCAAATGATCCAAATGTGTTCGCGATAGTCAAGCTTCTACCAACTCCAGCAATGAATCGGAACAACGCAGAAGCCATCTGATTAATGAGTAAGAGTAGAAGGTACTGCTTAAACAACCTGCATCATGTGCATGAATATTCATTAATTTTTTTAATGGAGAAAACATGAAAACAAATGTTAGCCATAAAGTGGTAACTTTTTCTAGTTGTTTTACCTTTCAACATTTGGATCATATCCAATGACATAGTAGGTAATAAATACCCAAACAGCTACTTCAAGACAAGTGATAGGGATCTTGAGGATCCATGCGGGAAGGGCATATGCCCATGGTGGAAAGAAGAGTAGTTTTCTTTGCTTATAAAAAACAGGAAGCTTGGCAATTGTCATAGAAAGCTCTGCCATTCCATTGAACATAACAGAAACCATAGAGAAGAACAAAGCACCAGCATAAATTCCTCCGTTACTTACTGAATCACGGTGCATCTCAGTCCGTAGGAACAGTGTCATTGTAATTAGAGCCAAGATTGAGAGCTAAAAATAAGGAAAATAAAAAATAAAAATCAAACCCAGGAGCACAAGACAAAAGAATGGTTATAGTAGAAGCTTAAGTAAAGTTAAAACTCACTTGGGTAAGCTTGAAAAGGTAGACAAATGAGTTCCTCTTCATAAGCAAGAATTCCCTTGCAAAGCAAGCTTTCAATAGTTCTGTTCTTTGAACACCATACTTTTTTGTTGTTAGTGCAGCAGGATGGCTCTTTGTCTTGTCAAATGGAGTTGCAAGTTCATCTGCAAATTTGCGTCCCACAGGGAATGAGTTGAATGCCTCAACAAATTCATCTACTGTGATGAACTTGTAAGGCTCATCTTTGGTTGCCCAATATTGCTCCTGATCTTTCCTTGACGTCACCTACAACATAGTTTATGTGAGACTCCTGTGTGATGCTCATTTTCTTTATTTTCACAAGATCAAAACAAAGCAATATAAGGGCCTACTTCTTGCAGGAAGTCGGCCACACCTTTCCTCTCAGGACATCTAAAGCCCATGAATTCAAAAAATTCAAGAACTTGTTCACGAGGACCTTGGTACACAATTTGACCATCAGAAAGGAGAACAATGTCATCAAATAGTTCATAAGTCTCGGGTGCTGGCTGCAGCAGTGAGATGAATGCAGTCCCCTTGAGAATATGAACATATTGCTTGATCGAATTCACAATTTGATATGTAGTTGAACTATCCAAACCAGTAGATATTTCGTCCATGAATAATGCCTTAGCAGGTCCAACCAACATTTCACCTATATATGATTCATTTGTCAAAGATTTGCCACTTAAATTTAAAATGCATGTGCTTTAATGCAAGAACAAGACTTTGTTTACCCGTTGTGACTCGTTTCTTTTGTCCTCCAGAGATGCCCCTAATTAATTGATCCCCTACCAAGGTATCTGCACAGACATCCAGTCCCAGGATCTGAAAATCAAATGGATTATTGATCAATAAAGAGAAATAGTGCAAGGGTAATTTTCAAAAGTCCTTTTGTTATTGCAAAAACAAATATGATGCTTTACCTTTAGAATATAATCTGTCACCACTTGTGCCCTCTGGCTTTCTGATGCCACTGCCTATAATAACAAAAAACAACTTAAAATTAACTAATCATCCAAGAAAAATGGTGTCCATAATATAGTTGTAGTTTACAGACCTCTTAAGTAGATATTCTCACCTTCATGTAGATATCCAAGTCTGCATCTGGCTTAATATTTGCTTCTTTCTCTCTTCTACTTATCTCTGCTAGGATATCTGTCAAAATTCAGAAGAAAAAAAAAACCTCAGTCATCTTTTCCTGTTATAGTCTTTGGTCTGATTCTGAAAGTTCAATAAAAAGAAGTCCTGTAAACGAACCATAACGAGCTCCAACCCCTTGACATCTTGCAGAAAAAGTCAATGTTTCTCCGACTGTCATCTCTCCAATATGAACATCATGTTGACTGATATAGACAGCACTCCTCTGAGGCACAAACTCATGCATGTCATGACCATTGTAGGTCACACGTCCAGAAAACTGCACAAGAATTTTGACTAATTAGTAACATAATCCAAGAGTAATACCTTTAGACTAAAGCTAAAATAAAAAATCTTAAGGCCCCATTTCATTTTGTGTAACCTTAAGATCCCGGTCAAGCTCTCCCGCCAAAGCCAACAAGAGTGTGGTCTTTCCGGAACTCGGAGGACCCAAAAGCAGTGTCATTCTGAGCAAACACATGAACCAAGTGAGTATTAGGCCACACAAACTCCAACAAATGTATATATATATATATATATATATATATAAGACATGGTCTGCAACTTTCTCACCTGCAAGGCTTGATGATCCCACTGACATCCTTAAGGATAGTCAAGTGTTGCTTCTTGCTAGGAAGAATACGGAAGGAGTTCAACAAACCCTTTGGAACCCAGAAACAAATAGTTATGTTAGAACGTATTAACACCAAGATTATGGATGCAATACACAAACTGAATTTTAGTGGTCAATTATTACCTCCACTAAATTAACACAGTAGTTAAAGACACTAGGCAGAGCTCTGCCTCCTACATAAGCTTCAGCGGCAATTTTTAAATGCTCAAATCTAACTTCAATTGTAGGAAGACTAATTCCAACTCTGAGATACATTCCAAGTACAACAAACCCATTACCAGAAATATATAATTTGAAAAAAAACAGAGAAAATTCAAGAAAAGAGCAACATGTAAAGTTGAGATTAATTCTAAATTCTTACCTATCAATGCGGTTCTTGAGCCTCAACAAGAAGTTCTCATGATCTTCTTCAGCTACTCCAACCAACCTCTCAATCAAATTCTTCCTTTCTTGTACTTGAAGACGGCTCACATCAACTTCGTCGGCACCGCCTTCGGATGTAGAGATCAAACCTTTCTTCAAGCGCTGGAAAGTTGGAAGTCTCTGAAGAGCAGCCCACTTGAGAGCTTCCTCATCATCCTCTCCACGTGAAGATGATGAGAAAACTCCCGCGCCATTGTCAGTCCAAAAGGAAGAGTTTTTGAAACTGTGACCAGCTTTCTCAAGATCACAACTTATCTCCATGTAGAAGAACCAGCAAGAACTACAAATTAAAAACCCAAGTCTTCTTTATCCAAAGTACCAAACTTAATAAAGAAGATAGCAAATCACGGGAAAACAAAAGGCAAGAGAAAAAGGGTTTGGCTTTTGTTGGCCACTTTCCTGGATAATTTATAGAAAGAAGTCGTGCATGATATATGTCATGATCAAAAGGTTCAGACATCATGGATGATATCATCACCATTCATTACATTTTCATATATCATACGCATTGTGGCTGGCTCCCCTTCACCGTTCATGCCAAAGAGAGTGAAATTCATCATGTGGGGGTTTGACTTTTGCATTGAGTAGCTAATTACTATACCGACTATATATGAATTGCATTTATCGAGTTTGCATCATTTGCTAATGCGCCAAATCGGCGGCCACCTATTCCAAACATAAGAGCCATCAAATTTTGCCCAGAAGGAAAATCCGTTGGTATGAGTTCACCAGATTTTCCATATTGATTGTAATCATTTTCTATTTCGCCTCAAATCAACTTGATATACAAACAAACACGCGTTACAGATCACAACTCATAGATGTATAATGTCTTGGGTACATATTTTGTTTTAAACCAGGTGCTGAAGAATATAAGTCTCACATCGAAAATTTGATTAAATAAAATAAAATATATAATAAATAGTTTCACTACTAATATGACCGATATTTTTTTTTTTAATAAAACCTCACACTTATTAAGAACCGCCCTACAACAGGGCACATTAAACCCACCCATGTAGTCTGAATCCTAAGAAGACTAGCGCAACAACCCACTGCCACCACGGCTCCCGTTTAAGTCTTGGTTTGAAAAATGAGAAATCGAATCGAAGCCACGACTATTGCGCATAACCAAGCAATTAAAGATAAGTCAAAGTCAGACATAAAATGACCTTGGTCGCATTATTTTTATGATGCACTCAACCCCAAGCAACTAGGGTCTGTTGGCCACTTTCATTTCATGTAATGATTGAATTAATTTATAAATTAATATGTTTATAGGCTAGCTTACATTGAGGCTGCTAATACATGCCAATGTCTATCATCACCGTTCATTTAATTTTTAATATTCTATGCATTGTGGATGAATTGACCAATATGGGGGTTTGACTTTGACATTGACTACATAATTGCTATAAAACCAATTAGATTTTCAGCCGACAATTTAAAAAACACCATTTACATGTAAGAGTCCAAGATATGTGGTGGTTCAGATTTAGGAGGTCACATCTATCCCTCACAATGACATGTAGATAATAGACACGTATGATAAAAGATTGGATATGTGGGCCCGGCGGCGCAGTTGGGAAATAATTGGGTTTGAGATGAATTGGAAACTCCGGAACGTCAGGAATTGGGCTAGCCGCTAAGGCCCAAATCAGTTTTCTAAGCCCCAAATTAGATATAAGCATATAAGCAACGAATAATTGGGCTTAGTCCAAAATGGGGCAGTAATTGGGCCACCCCAACCCACCAGCTATTTCTTTCTCTCGCGGCAAAGTTGCAAACAGCAACGAAATCTTAAAATTCATGGCGGTAGAGCTTGAACACGTATAAACCAGTCTAAGTCGGAAAACACCAGAAACGCCGACGTTTTGGACATCGATAAAGGAGGAGAAGAAGAAGCACAGTGCAGAGAGACACATTCCAATGGCGGACGATGAGGCAGAGATATACGACGGAATCAGAGCTGAATTTCCTCTCACGTTTGGCAAGCAATCCAAGGCTCAAACCTCTCTCGAAGCCATTCACAACACGACTCGTCGTTCTGTTAACAATCCTCCAGAAAAACCCTCCTCCACCAAAACCAACGACCTCCCTTCTCTCTCCTCCTCCTCCCAAACCTGGCTCACCTCCCTCCGCGCCCCCAAAAACCCTAAACCTAACCCTAATCCTGAACCTAGCCCTGCAGACGATGAGGATGGAGATGGCGATGTCATGATTGGACCGCCGCCTCCGCTGCCACAATCTGAGATTTCCGAGAGTGACGACGACGATGGCGAGATGATTGGACCGCCGAGGCCGCCGGTGGGGTCCAACATGGCCGATTCGGATTCGGATTCTGATTCGGATTCAAAGTTGGAGAATAGGTATCGGATTCCGCTAAGCAATGAGATTGTGCTGAAGGGCCATACCAAGGTCGTTTCGGCCCTCGCCGTCGATCACACTGGGTCTAGAGTTGTTTCCGGTAGCTATGACTATTCTGTGCGAATGTACGATTTCCAAGGAATGAATTCAAAGTTGCAATCTTTTAGGCAGCTCGAACCATCTGAAGGTCATCAAGTTCGTACCATAAGCTGGAGTCCAACAGCCGATCGTTTTCTCTGTGTTACAGGCTCAGCTCAAGCGAAGGTGCTCTTCATCAACATCTTCTTGTGTGAATTTTATTATTTTTTGCTTTCTTTGATTTTGGTTTTGTGTATATGAGATTGGCGCGTAATGGGCATTTCCTATACCGTTTTCGTCTTTGTGTGAAATTTCAGATATATGACCGCGATGGGCTTACTTTGGGAGAGTTTGTAAAGGGGGACATGTATATTCGTGATCTCAAGAATACCAAGGGCCACATTTCTGGATTGACTTGTGGAGAGTGGCACCCTAGAACTAAAGACACCATTTTGACATCATCCGAGGATGGATCACTGCGTATTTGGGATGTCAATGACTTCAAAACTCAGAAACAGGTTCGATATTGTTTTGGGTCTTGCTTAAAGATATGTTTTTGTATAATATTGGTTTCGGTTGTCTTGCATAACTATGTGACTAGCAAAATGGTTTTAGTTCTCTGCAGAATTTGCAAGGGCTTTATGTAATAGTAAATTGGATTATTGATCCTGGATCCGATAATGCTACTTTGCCTTTTAGAATGATTTCTACTGTGGATACTCTGTTTTACTTTTTTTTAATTAATGAGAAGGTATATTACCGAACTTGATGCTTTAAACTAAATGATGCAATACCTCAATGAACAGGTAATCAAGCCAAAACTTGCGAGGCCTGGAAGAATTCCGGTCACCACTTGTGCCTGGGATCGTGACGGAAAACGCATTGCAGGTGGTATAGGAGATGGTTCTATACAGGTATTGGCTGAATCTCTCTTACTTCAAATGGGCTCGGTACTAAAAAAGCGAACTAGGTCTCCCCCACCTCAAAATGAAAGTTTGCATTGGTTGGATAGATAGATTTGTGATGTTATTGTACTTAATGCCATTTCCATCAGCTTCTTCTCACATAACATGTATCATTCTGACAGATATGGAACCTTAAGCCTGGATGGGGAAGCAGGCCAGATATACATGTTCAAAACAGTCATTCAGATGATATTACTGCACTTAAGTTTTCTATGGATGGGAGAATCTTACTATCAAGAAGCCTTGATGGTTCATTGAAGGTAATGAATTACATGAGTAAGGAGTATACTGCTGTTTATTATCGGACTAAGTCATAATTTTTTTTCTTTCTGTTGTGTGTCTCCCTTCTAATTTACATGTGTACCAGGTTTGGGATTTGCGTCAGATGAAGGATCCTCTTAAGGTGTTTGATGATCTCCCAAACAACTATGCCCAAACTAATATAGCATTTAGTCCTGATGAGCAACTCTTCTTGACTGGAACATCTGTTGAAAGGGAGAGCACTACTGGAGGTTTGCTATGCTTCTTCGATCGAGCAAAACTTCAACTTGTTTCAAAAGTTGGGATATCCCCCACCTGTAGTGTTGTACAGTGTGCTTGGCACCCAAAACTCAATCAGGTAAACTCACAATAATAACATGCTTGTTTAATCTATCATTTTTCTTAAGCGCTTGTTGATCTATTGAGAATCACTGAACACATTCATACACATGCATGCACAATAAATGAAGGATGAAAGTATACTCATAATTACATGCCTTCGATTTTCCAAAAGTAAAAAATGAAAAGTCTCACATGCCTTTGTTTGTGAAGATCTTTGCAACAGCAGGAGATAAAAGCCAAGGAGGAACTCATGTGTTATATGATCCAACCCTTAGTGAAAAAGGAGCTCTTGTTTGTGTTGCACGTGCTCCGAGGAAAAAATCTATTGACGATTTTGAGGCAAAACCAGTGATTCACAACCCTCATGCTCTACCTTTATTTAGAGATCAACCAAGCCGTAAGCGTGAGCGAGAGAAAACATTGAAGGACCCACTGAAATCCCATAAGCCTGAACTTCCCATGACAGGGCCAGGCTTTGGTGGACGAGTAGGTGCAAGTAAAGGAAGCTTATTGACCCAGTACCTTATGAAGGTAATGGTTATTTCTCCATTGATTATTTATCTTTTCTTTCCAAATTTAATGCAACTGTAGAAAAGATACTCATCCTTTGAGTCCCGTCTCAGCAAGGGGGCATGATCAAGGAGACTTGGATGGAGGAAGATCCCAGAGAAGCCATACTGAAGTTTGCGGATGTTGCAGCAAAAGATCCAAAGTACATTGCTCCAGCTTATGCACAAACCCAGCCCGAAACAGTTTTTGCAAAATCGGACTCCGAGGATGAAGAGAAATGATTTGATTAAGGTTGCCATTTCTAGAAAACGCAATTGCTGTAACAGGGCAGAAACCAGAGGCTACTGTGAGGCAGCCCTTGCATAGCACCTTACCTCTGTACAGTGCTTCCGCAAGAATTAACCGATGGCATTAGCCACTGCATCAAATGACAATGTAAATGTAAATGGAAATGCGGTCGATGCCACATTGCCCTCAGAAATTAGACTATGGCAATGTATATGTGATCAAAATGAAGAGCTTAGTGGAAACATTTTTCTTTTGGGGGTTGGAAACACTGTTTGCATGTAAAACAAATAATACAAGGGTATGTGCTATATTACAATTGTGTTTACATTTACTGAAATCAGGTTTTTTGTTTATGCTCAGCCTCGCATTTCATTGAAAATAGTCGAGATTATTCTTCCCTCAAAATACGGGAAATGTATTTCGATGCAATAACAAGTTAAGCATTAGCGGCTAAAACATAGTTGATCAGAAAAAAGTCTCGTAATACTATGTTTTGTCTATTGACATTTACAAGATTTTGAACGAGATGGAAGTTTCTTATAGATCAACATCAAATCCCATAAAATAATTGGGATTGTGATCCTTTAGTGTGTGCACTACAATAGATGGTGGTGTGGGGATTTTGCACTTTTGACTATAACTTTATGTTACAAAGTATTTGCCGCAGGCTCTAGCCAGCAGTTTGCAAGAGATAGTGGCGTGGCCCCCAAACCATATTAGGTTGGCAAATTCCTGGACAGGCCATCACCAAAAGGACCATAAGCCATTCCGCCCCCTCACTCTGAATCAGTTGTGCCTTGTGATTTGTCAACTGTTGCAGAAGCCATTACCCTTGAGAAAAATCTTTGAGTTGCAACTTGGAATCTTACAACGATGCACTTCAACTTGTAAAAGGTTTAACTTAGGGTTCACCATTCTCGAAGCTTGACAGGCGAGAGTCCGATAGAACAGTGAACATTTGTGTGTCTACGAACAACTGTAGAAGCCGAAAGTTGCAGATGAAATAATATAAAGGTGATACAATAACTGCTTTCAACTACAACTTAACCTAAATAGATAAGTAAATGTAATGAAATATGCATGAGACATTTAGAAAGAATTGCACGTTACCTTGATAAATGACCGGTCCTTGCTAGGAAAGGAATCAATGAAGCTCTCTTTAAGAAGTAAAGAAACCTGAATAGACAGGAAAAAATTTCCATGTCAAAAAAGTATAATAAGCCAGGTCTTCTGTGATATTTAGCTATTTACAGTTTTATATTATTGAAGATTTGGAGGAATATAGAAACTATGGCATTAATTTCTCTACCCTGTCATTGTTTGATTGTACACTCGTTATTGTGTAAGACCTTAACTCAGAACAAAGTGACTCCAAGTAGTTCTTCATGACGTCTAAAAACTGACCTGCAGCTTCGACCTGAAACGTAAAAGAGTGAAACTGCTTAGAAAAGTATCATAACCATATTGTTGAAAACTAAAAAACTCGCTTTGGACTCATTAGCTACGGGATGACCACAGGCCTTTAATTATAGATTCTAAAACATTTTTCCATAATACGAGTAACGAGCATAAGCAGTAGGCATGCAAGTATGAGAGTGAAGTTTGCAACATCACTCTTCGTTAGTGTAAATCCATCAGAATCACGAGCAGAAGCAGTAAGCATGCAAGTATGACAGTAAACCTGCACTTCGTTGCACCTATATACAGGATGCTTTTTAGCAAATGAACCTTCACGTGACAGTCTAGCATGGATGGGCCCTAGTTCAGAGGCTAGATCTTTATGTCTTGGAAGTGTTGGCAAATGACACATTTTCACCTGCATGAGCAATAAAGTAACAGCAAGGATACTTATTATTCTTAGTTTGCAAATTTTTGGGTAATTATTGAAAACTATAAAATACATCATAATTCCATCAAAGTAGTTGCAAGGAAAACTGAGCATTCCGTAGTTCGCAAGAGATACAAGGTGGAAGACTACGGAATTTTTTATGTTTTTTCATCCTTATAAAATAAAAAATAAAAAAGACAATTTGAAGCACATTCTTAGTCCAAAAGGAAACTTATAAACTGCAACAAATTTCAAAATTTCAGAAGTTCTAGAATGATCAATTTCAATTGTGTGATTCTCAAGCATGCAAAAATTCAAAAAAAAAAAATCTTTCCATTGTGTTTTAGAGATCATCTATATTTGATAGCAGAAAAAAGTAAAAATAAGAAACCTGATCCTTTTGCACATTAACTTGAACAGGATCCCATGCTTTCCTCTTTAGATCTGCAGGAATTTGTTGTATCCCAATCTACAAAATGATAAGAGCAAAAAAAAAAAATTAAACTGGAAACAATGGTACCATTTTCTTACAACCCCTGAAATTCAAGTTCGAACTTAGAGTTACATGAATTTTCTAGAAGTAAGTATTTCCTATACATAATCTAGGAACAAAATAGAATTCCAAGCGAAGCAATATTATGCATTTCGCTTTGGCGTCCCCTTTAGAATTCTGGTTTGGTAAATATTCAATCAAAGCAATCAACTGAGTTTAATCAAGCCTTAAACTTAACTAGCCATACAACAAAATGCAATGGAATACATATAACAAAAGATACAAGTATGACGATTAATATGGGATGAAACTCACAATAAACGGAACTGGGGCGTCAAGAAAATCAAGCATTTTCCCTGGTAGAACCTGAAGAATATTGAAGAAACTTAAGAAAATATGATGTCCATAAAGAAGTACTAGTGCACCTATAGAATACTTGGTAAACAACCATCCGAGGCGAAACAATATTATCAAAGAACAGTGTGTGTGTGTGTGTGTGTGTGTGTGTGTAATACAAGGACAGGACAAATCCAAGAGTGAAGTCAGTGTATTAGGAAACATTTATGTATACTGAACAAAGCACCATCGTTTATGCATGTAATCCTCATTGGTGGAAATTCAGTATTGTTGAAGGGGTTTAAAACTAACAAACTTTATTTACGATAAAACCCCAGAACAGTTTTATCATTAAATATTTAAGAACTCAGACTTCCCAAGTTTCGTTAAAGTACACATAAACTCACATATATAAACCAATTAAAGTAGATGCAGAACACTAATAATATCGAGCTTACAGGAAGCATTAAACTCTGCCATTGAAATGGACGAATCATGGGAATGAGAGATAACACTGTAGCTGATAGCACACCCTGCATTAGTGAAGTGTCAAATGGTCAAAATTTGAAGAAGAAAAAAATTGCTCTCAGGATTGACAAAGTAATTCCAATACAAAGATTAACTCACCAGATTCGGACACACTACTACCACTTGTTTTTCTAGTAATACACCCGCAACCAACGCTAAAATCTGGAAAAAAAAACACCAGTTATGAATTAACAAAAGTAGACAAGAAGATTTACTGGGGGGACAAAATAAACTTTCTTTTTCCTGGGGCAAAAGTGGGTACATTCTTGACCACAAACATCAGCCCACTTTCAAAGATACTGTTAGGTCAAAATGTGAAGGCTTAAGATCATGTACCAAGCATTTCCAGAAGAACTATGCTAACAAGTTCTCCATATTGTTTCTGTATATAAGTACCTTATCTACCAACTTATTAAGAGGTAAATCACATGAAAATGAGATAAGCTAAAGCATGAACGTCATTTTCAGTGGTGGTACCATTGTTACTTTTAGTCTCACTCGATTGACTTAACTCAGATGGCCATACGAAGATGATAATAGTCCACAAAGTTGGGCTGTCTTTAGAGTTGTGGTATTTCCTCGAAGATTTTGGCTTTATACGGCACTTTTACTTTGTGTTACAAAGGTCACAGGAGCAAGAATTGTTGTACAGTCCTTGTAGCTTTCCTTGTTGCCATTCAAATTTGAAAATGATAAAAACCCTACCGGATGGAGGGCTCACATCAATACAGTTACAGGTTATCCAGTTATTCTTTTTCTATGTTAGATCTTTGGGGATTTCTGGCCTTATAAACAAATTTTCACCGGCTGTGTTATTTCCCTCCTGTGAAACTTATATTGAGAAAACATTGATCACATAGGAAAGAATAGAAACTCATTACGTGACATGATGATATATTGGTTACTACAGAAGAAAAAAAAAATAAATCTGAACCATATAATGAAAAAAATTTAACATGGACTTGAGCAAAACAATTGAGCTTACGCTTTCAAGGGAGAGAACTCGGCAAATTGTAGCAGTCGTCCATAGTGATAGTGCAAAAGCTTCCTCAGCAGCAGCCAATTTAGCATTGACCTTTAACCAAGTGAAGTAATGTTGAGTGAATATTATAAAATGCTAAAATATGTGTGTGTGTGTGTGTGTGAGAGAGAGAGAGAGAGAGAGAGAGAGTGGCCTAAGAACAATGAGTAATTAATCAAATACCCCAGGATCTTCAAACGAATCTAAACTTTTTTCATCAAAACCAAGGGCAGTAACTGGAGGTCGCCTATACTCAATAGCCTGTAGATGTTCAAGAGGTTGAAAAGCTAGTTCACTCCCTGGTTGGGGAAGAGGCAGAGCATGAAAACCACAAACAATCTGTAGCAAATCGTTCTTATTCTCCTATCATAGACAGTTTATACAAAAATAACTGTCATATGGAATTCAAAATATCACTTACATAGAAAGAAAAAAAAAGTTGTGTAAACATCGAAGATATTGATAAAAATTGATAAACTCACCCTAGCCCATTCCATTATCAATTCATCACCAAACTCTTTCTCACAATTTGAGAAAAGGTCATCGTCGTCATCCTCTGATACCATGCTTCTAGCTGGACTGCCAAAGATAATAATATATTATTGAAATTGTACTTAGACAAATGGGAATCATTAAGTTATTTGACATGCCATAAAGAATTGAGAGAGAAATTATAAATGGGTATATCCAAATGACCGCATCAGAGTAGCAGAAATATTTCAAGAACTACTGAATCCCATGTAACAGCATATATACCAACAGAGCAATGGGTAAAAGAAAAACTACTAATTTATGTCTTTAAGAATAAAAGGACAAGTCAAATAGTAAGATAACCATATATTTACCACCTGAATAGAGATTCAGAACTCCCAAGACGTTCCAATGTGCGACTCCTGGAGGAAAACGATGTCCCAACCTCTGGAGAAGTATGGCCATTTCTGAAAACAATCAATTAATTTATGTCTTAAGCACAAAATGATAAACCAAATAGTAAGATAACAATATATTTACCACCTAAATAGATATTCAGAACTCCCAAGACTCTCCAATGTGCGATTCCTGGAGGAGAAAGATGGCCCAACCTCTGGAGAAGTGTGGCCATTTCCATAG